AACAGGGCCACCTGGAAACGCTGGCTTGCACTCTTCAAAGGATGCGGTACATCTCAATTAATTAAGACCCTGAGATCTTAATTTACAGAAAGCGATTATGACAGTTCTCACTAAACTGCTATTAGCGCAAGGGGGGAAAAATGCACACAGACGATCTATAACCAAGACAAAAAAAGATGTAAACACACCTAGAGGAAAACGAGACCCACCATGAAATAAATTGGTTTTGCTAAGATTTGCCTTGTGGGCACATTTGAAGAGAACTTGAGAGCCGACAAGAGTTTTAAAAAATATATTGTGATAATTGAAAGCTATGTTATTACTCAAAGTGATCAAGTGCAGAGGTGGAGGGATGAGAACAACTGTTAATTTTTTTCCCCTAGACTTCGCCAAAGCAAATGCAAATTTCCCGTTCTGATGTCTATTTCGAGGCCCTGTAACAAGGCTTTTAATCAATGTATTATACATCAAATTGATAATGTTAAACTTCTGATTATTCAAATGTTATGAAATATTCATAAAGAACTGTCCAAAGTTTTACATTTTCCTGATTCTACCCCCCCTTTCTCCTCACTTCCATTAATTATCATGCCTGGAAGCTTTTTGAACAAAAAAAAAAAACACCAGCCGTCAACTTGACTCAACCTGACAAGCTAGCAAAGGCCAATTACGTTGGTGCTCTCTGGCACTTTGATGTAGCGGGAACGAAAAGAGATAGGGGCAAATTGTGCAGCACATTATGTTAATGACATGATTTAATCCAGCCGCTAAACTTTATGTAGCCTGTTAAAAAAGATGCTAACACTAATTACGCCACTTTGGAAAGGGAAAAGAAGGGGACAAGCCTTTCCTACAGACAAGGCAAAGCTCATAAATGTTGTAAATGCAATGAAACAAAATGAAGCAATCTATGATTAATTATACATAACAGACATGAAGGGGGGGGGGAAGAGGAGGGGAAAAGATAAAAAGAACAGCAAGTTGCACAGCTAAAAACTCTGGGCAAAGAAAAGAAATAAAAAGGAAATCTACTGAAGATTCCTTTTAACTAAGAAGCAACCCTGTATGTCCCAACTTCCAAAAAAAACCCCAGAAGTAACACGAATCTTAAATGGCTAGAACAATTCGGTGTGCAGCGGCCAGGTCTGCGGGATAATTAGCGAGGAAAACCTTCAAATGAAATCGGAAGCTGGGTTTATGGTGATCTGGATAGCTGCGGGGATATTTATCGTGCCGATAAAAGAAAGAAAGCTGGACTCTGAACAAAGGCTCGGCTTCGTTTTTCTCCCGAAAGCTGGTGCGGTTGTGGTCTCACGTGGAGAGATTCCGATTTCAGCTGCGCCAGCGCCAATCCCTACTGAAACGAATGGGGTGGATAGAAGAACCAACTTCCTGGTATTGCAAGCGGCTAGGAGATTGGCTGCGTTGGTGGCAGCAGCTGAAGGGGAGGGGCCGTAACTCGGCAAGCAAAATGCGGGTAAGCTCGGGGAGACTTGGGGTTAAAAGGAAAGAACAAAGAAGAAGAAGAAGAAGAAGAAGAGAAGAGACTGGATTTATACCCCACCGTTCACTACCCAAAGGAGTCTCAGAGCGGTTTACAAACTCCTTTCCCTCCCTCTCCCCACAACAGACACCTTGTGAGGTAGGTGGGGCTGAGAGAGCTCTTGACAGAAACTGCTCTTTTTTCAAGAACTGCTCTTATCAGAACTATGGCTTGCCCAAGGTCATCCAGCAGCTGCGAGTGGAGGAGTGGGGAATCAAACCTGGTTCTCCCAGATTAGAGTCCGCGCACTTCACCACTATACCAAACTGGCTCTCAAAGCGAGCCTCAGATCACAGGGTTGTGATCTGATGCTGTGAGACCCTATTTTTGGTGGGTGCAGACAGGACTGACTGGCCCAGCAGTTGGACGAAGTAAAAAGCTGATATTAACATATCCTTTAAATATATTAGTCTTTGGAACACGTCCATCCTGAACACTGCAGGGACTATAGGATCGGGGCTATTGACACGGAAGAAACCCCCATTTTAAAATCGGCTGCTTTTTTTTAACGGCACCCTGCTGTGCATGCGTTTGATAGATCCAACCTTTGGAGGCAACCAAATGGTCTGGATCTAGTTAAATGGGCATTGCTTCCAAACAGAAACTGAGTTGATACGTCAGTGGGTGCTGCAAAGTCACAACCGACTTATGGCGACCCCAGTGAGGAGCTTTCAAGACCAGTGGTGGTCTTGTATCCATATACCGACCCAACATAGCTTCTGAGGTCTGACAAGATTGGGCTATACCATGATGCCTTCCTTCCCCTGAGCTAAGAGTAGTTAAGCCAAAGAATAATTAACACGTGAAATTCACTGACGCAGAAGAAGAAGAACAAGAAGAGATTGGATTTATACCCCGCCCTTCACTACCCAAAGGAGTCTCAGAGCGACTTACAAATTCCTTTCCCTTCCCCGCCCCACAACAGACACCCTGTGAGATAGGTGGGGCTGAGAGAGCTCTGACAGAAACTGCTCTTTTTCAAGGACAGCTCTTACCAGAACTATGGCCTGCCCAAGGTCATCCAGCAGGTGCAAGTGGAGGAGTGGGGAATCAAACCCGGTTCCCCCAGATTAGAGTCCGTGCACCTAACCACTACGCCAAATTGGCTACACCAAACTGGCTACACCAAACTGGCAGGAAGTGATGGTCGTGGTGGATGCAAGCATAGACAGTTTCAAGAGGGGACTGGATGAACATATGGGGCAGAGGTCCATCAGTGGCTCTTAGCTGCAAGGTACAGAGGAAACACTATCACTGGGGCAGTGATGCTCTGTATTCTTGGTGCTTGGGGGGCAACAGAGGGATGGCTTCTGGAGTTCTGGCCCTGCTGCTGGACCTCCTGATGGCACCTGGGTTTTGGCCGCTGTATGACACAAGAGTATTGAACTGGATGTGCCACTGGCCTGATCCAACAGGGCTTCTCCCATATTCTTAAATCTTAATGATTTCGAACAAAGAGTTGAAGCACATTTTTTAATCCAGGCACTAAAACTAATGAGACTTGGAAAAGTTAACTTTGGTTCATCAATTTGAAGCAATCCCCTTGAAGTCAAGGGGACTTACTGTTGTGTAATAGCCTCAGTCCATCCCTTGACTGAATGCATATGGGCTCTGAGGAGCTTCAGGGAATGTCCGGCCTTCCCCTCTTCACAACAACATGAAATTGCACATGACTGGCTTGGCCATGCCATTCAAGTGAATGGGGCAGCCACGGGTCACACAGAACCCATCAAACAACTGCTATGGAGCTCTGGATCGTGCCCTTTGGGTGGTTGTTTTCTCCTCCACCTCTCTGCTCAGTTGCTACACTTCCTAGCAAGCCTGAGCAGGGAAGAAAGACAGAAATAAAAGACTTTCCTACACCCGCTTTTTCAAGGCCGCAGATATTTCAAGGCATCTTAAATCATTTCAGCTATAATGGAGTGCAACAATACTTGAGATTTGTGGGCCCAGCTGCATTTTTGCAGGGCTCATTGGCAATGAGTAATTTTCCTATTTGGCTCACATTGTTACAGCTTTAAAAGGATCTGATGGCACTAAAAATGCAGTTAATCATAATACAGTTCCACCTATTAAAATAATCCCTCTTTCTCTCTCTCTCTGGCTCAGGCTGGTGGCAGCATTTCAAATTCCTCGTGAGGAATGACGAATAGACAAGCGGCCAATCGAGCACGAAACATTGCCTCATGCGAGCCGGCCGCATTCTGCAACACTGCAGGACCGTTGCTTTCTTTCCCAGTGCCCGAACGCAGATGAGGCTGGTATGGATTGCTGTTGTCTGCACACTGAGGATGGGTTTTGAACTAGGAAACAACAGGGCCAAATAAGCTCACACCCAGTTCCCTACTCCCAAAACGATTTTAAAGTATATGCTGGCTTCCTGTTTTCAAAGTACGATGCACATATTTATCGAGTTTCTTTATAGCCGGGGTTGCTAGCTTCTGGGTAGCACCTGGAGATCCCCTGCTATCTCCTGGAGATGATTCAGATCAGGGCTTTTTTTGTAGAAAAAGCCCAGCAGGAGCTCATTAGCATAATAGGCCACACCCAACAGCTGAAACTCATTAGCATATTAGGTCACACCTTAACAAAACAGCTCATTAGCATATTAGGCCACACCCCATGCCTTCCCTTGGCTTGCCCAGGAACCCCACGGCTGCAGGGAGCCCAGGCAAGCCAGCCCTTGGACAGGCCGGGGAAGGCATGAAAGAGGCATTTAAATGCCTCCCTGATCCTTCCAGGGCCCCCCCGGCACGCCCGCCTCAGAGTCACCGGGGGGTCACTCTCCAGGCCTCCCCTCTGTAGCCACGCACGCAGAGGTTTTGGCTGTAGTGGGCGTGGCCAACTCTGAAGCCAGCAGGAACTCCGTTCCTGTGCGTTCCTGCCCAAAAATAGCCCTGATCCAGATCAGTTCCCCCGGAGAAAATGGCCACTTTGGAAGGTGGACTCTATGGCATTGCATTCTGATGAGATCCCTCCCCTCCCCAAACCCCACTCTCCACAGGCTACACCCCTAAAAGCTCCAGGTATTTTCCAACCCGGAGCTGGCAACCCTGTTTATAGCCCCCCTTTCTCATCAAAACTACTATTTGAAGTCAGACATGCCCTTCTTTCTCTCACTCTCACAGTTTTGTCCTGCTCTTCCTTCCAGGAGCTCAAGGCAGCATACATGGTGCCCCCCCCCCCCCAATTTATCCTCAAAACAACCCTATGAGGTAGGTTAGTCTGACAGAAAAGAGACTGACCCCAAATCAATGGGTCAGCTTTGTAGCCAAGTGGGGATTTGAACCCTGATCTTGCTTGGCTGCTAGGCTGACATTCGTGCAACTGTATCACATTGGTTCTCTTCTTGTTTAATGGGTGTGTGTGCATGTGTGTGCAAGGAAGGAATGAATCACATTTGAGAATTCCTTAGGTGGAAGAGCTTAATTCCCCCACACCACCCCAAAATACTCACCTGCTTGAGACTCAGGGATTCTATACTTGGAACAACACACTCATCACTGTCTGTTGCGGATTCAACGGCATCTGTTCCCTGTGTGTCATCTTGATCTGAATAATTTAGAATAGGGGGGGAAAATAACAACACTTTTTTTGGCACTTCATATATCATATTTTATGACGGTTAGGGGCGTGGACTCTAATCTGGGAGAACCGGGTTTCATTCCTCACTCCTCCACATGCAGCTGCTGGCATGACCTTGGATCAGTCACAAGTTCTCTCAGAGCTGTTCTCTCAAGAGCAATTCTCTCAGAGCTCTCTCAGCCTCACCTACCTCACAGGGTGTCTGTTGTGGGGAGGGGAAGGGAAAGGAGATTGTGAGCCGCTCTGAGACTCCTTTGGGTAGTGAAGGGCAGGGTATAAATCCAATGTCTTCTCCTTCTTTTACCTCACAGGGTGCCTGTTGTGGGGAGGGGAAGGGAAAGGAGACTGTAAGCCGCTTTGAGACTCCTTTGGGTAGTGAAGGGTGGGGTATAAATCCCCCCCCCTCCTCCTCTTCTTTTCCTCATTGTACTGTCTTCTAACTTTGTTATTGACATCTATGTTTACTGGCACTTATATATTCTGTGAGCCACCCTGAACCTGCCTCGCTGAGGAGGACGGGATACAAATGAATTAATTAATTAAATAATAATAAATAATCCAGATTTATTACAGTATTTATTGTTTCATACCGTTCCTACTAAATTCTTGCTAAATTTTGGCATCTGCTTTGAGTCTCTGTGAAAAAGGCGGACTATAAATAAAGGTGATAAGCAATATGGTTAAAAACACACAGTGAGCGATAAGCCCGTTCGAAATGGTAAAAAAAAATAACATAACGATTTGGAAAGCTGTGGAAGAGTTAACAGCACGACAGAGTCGAGTTCACCGCGTAGCGCAAAAGTTAATGAAGACAGTTTAAAGGGGCAATATAACATTTATTTTCCTTGCAGACCGAGATGCTGGCCAATCAATGATTGTTAAATGGCCTGCAGAATCACTCGATTCCTCTTTAGGCCTTGCTTCACTTGCTTCGGCAGTTGAGGAGGCAGAGTGTTAAACAAATCCCTTCATGTTAATGCATTAATTTGGGAGGGAAGGCAGCATGGTTATAGATTAATCTCATCAGATCTCGGAAGCTAAGCAGGATCGGTACTTGGATGGGAGACCACCAAGGAAGGCTCTGCAGAGGAACGCCACGGCAACCCACCTCTGCTTCCCACTTGCCTTGAAAGCCCCTTGCTGGGGTCACCATAAATCAGCTGCGACTTAACAGCATGTATGTAAGGATGCGGAGGGTGACTTGGATGACCACCAAAGAAGGTTCTGCAGAGGAAAGCCATGGTAAACCACCTCTTCTTCTCAGTCGCCTTGAAAAGCCCCTTGCTGGGGTCACTGTAAGTTGGTTGCAACTTGATGGCACACATATGAATTTAAACAAAAATGACGAAGGTTTTGTGCAGGTTCCTAAAGCACACTGAACGGCATGTGTTGACTTTACTGAGACTCGGAAGGCATTTGGACTGCATAGGTTCAGTGCTTCTTCTCCATGTTGGTTCACTGAGCCAACAGAGACGGACACACGTCACATAATCCGTGCATCTGCCTCCTGTAGGGATGACTGAAGTGCCCCAATAACACGAGAGCAGCAACTGGTTTTTTCTACAGATTTCATGGCAGATTGAACCAGCAAGTCGTAATCGTGAAGACTGGCTTATTTTGCATAGTTGTGAAATATGATTGTCTTTTGTGTATTTTACACACTGTAAGCCACTTTGGAATCTATGTTGCCTGGAGAAAGGGTGCGTTAAAAGTGTCCGAAACAAATGAAATAAAAACGAATTTATTTCACAGATCCACTGCCCAAAGTGGGGGGAACAGTGGACAATGCGCTTTGCAGTAGCTGCACTGAGAATGCATCCTTGAGTACAGGTCAATCTATTATCCTTTGAATCAAGGGGAGAATGCCGGTCTCACGGGAACGTGTACACACGTGTTATATAGCTTGGGCTGAGCTGCACTGGAAACCGCTGTGTCTGTTGCAATATGAAAACTAACTCCGGCGGATTCTCCACATGCAAGTCATCACTTGCTGTCGCGGGGCATCAGACAATGAACATACACATGGGGAGGGAAACAAGGCACACTTGCCAGAAGACGTCTACACCGGGCAGTGACGGCGTGTGCAATTAAATGAATATATGCAGGGGTCGTTTCGTAGAAAAAGAGCTAGGGGAACTCATTAGCATAACTCATTAGCATATGCCACGCCCCCTGACATCACCGGAAGTGTGTCGTGAGGCCACACCCCCTGATATCACCGGAAGTGTGTCATAAGGCCACACCCCCTGCCATCACCGGAAGTGTGTCATAAGGCCACACCCACCACTCAGTTAGTCTTAGTCTTAAAGGTTAGTCTTAAAGGTGCTATTTGTTAGTCTTAAAGGTGCTATTTGAACTCTTGGACTATTTTGCAGCAACAGACTAACACAGCTACCTCGGGGAAACTTCTGGATGGGGCTGGGAGTCCTTGCGGAAGCCACGTGGAGTGGCCTCGGACAGGCAGAGGGGGAGGACGCCAACTTACCCTCCTGCTTCTTCCTCCTTCTGCAACAGAATGATGCTGGAAGCAGGGGGCGGCCGAAAGAAGGGGGCGGGGCTTCGCCGTGTGCCCCGCCCCCCGCACCTCACCTGGGGGAACGGCGATCCCCCGCGATCCCCCCGAATCGACCTCTGAATATATGTTGTCTTCCCTATCCCCTACAAACATTGTTAGTCCCTTGTCTATATTGAGTAACTGTACATCGCTTTGAGCCCACTGGGGAAAGCGATTAATAAATGGAAAGTATTATTATTAGTACTTGGGGGTCAGGGGGCCACAAGGGCCTTGGCTGCAAGTACATTACCATGCATATGTGTGTGTATGTATAAATTTCATGACTCATAAGATCATATGCAGGATAAAACTGGGGGTGGGGGGAGGAATGGGACAGGACACACATCACAAGCGCACATCAGGTTTGGAGAAACGATGCTTGATCCCCTGTCCGAGTCTGACCCGGATGGGCCAGGCTAGGCCGATCTCTTCAGATCTAGGAAGCTAAGCAGGGTCAGCCATGGTTAATTCTTGGTTGGGAGACCACCAAGGAAGTTCAGGGTTGGTACACATGGGCCGACAATGGCAAACTGCCTCTGAACGTCTCTTGCTTTGACCTGGATGGCCCAGGCCAGCCCGAACTTGTCAGATCTCGGAAACTAAGTATGGTCGGCCCCGGTTGGTAGTTGGATTGGGAGACCACCAAGGAAGTCCAGAGTATGCAGAGGAAGGCAATGGCAAACTAGGTCTGAATATCTCTTGCCTTGGAAACCCTATGGGTTCGCCATAAGTTGCCTGAGACTTGGCAGAACTTTCCACCGCCCCCTGTCTGGATTGTCGGCTGGCCTACATTTTCCTTCAAAGGTCTCTAGCTGAATTGCCTTTATGCCGGTGCTGTGACAGCGCTACAGCAGAGAATGTGAATGCAGCCTCTAAGTGCATCAAATTTGAATACAGTCCCCGACAGGCAACGAGGCTTAATGAGACACAGCTGATAGCAATTTATGCTTTTGGCTGTATTAATGGGATCCAGAAACCACCATTTTCACTGCAACACCCTCGTTCTTTCCAGGGCAGCTGTTGTGGGCGTTGTCCTCATGGTGGGTATGCTGTCAGCATATCGCTATCCCCTTCCATCCATTTCGATGGAGCTCGAATGTTCCACAAACTAAAAATTCGTCAGTTCACACGAACCCCATTCAGTTCAAGGGGACTTGGATTGGGGGGGGGGGTTCTTCTGTCCTTGGTGAAAGTTTTCTCAACTCGCTTCCTGGGTACTGAATGTATAATAAAGCGAGGCAATGTGACCTGGGAGTTTGCATTCTTTGTACAGAGCTGCCTCGAACCCTCTTTCATCCTGTGCACTGATACGTCATGCTAGCCTCATATTGTCTGAGACTCTCTCTCTCTCTCTTTCTCTCTCTCTGTTTGACATTACGGGTGGCTGTTATCTGCAGACAAAAGCAGCAGACGCTTTTAAAATATTCTTCTGAAGGAGGAGATCTCTAGTCTTCTGAAGAGGGAATATAAAGACATTTTAAAACAGAAGCCAGTTTCCTTTAATATTTTATGAAACCAGGTTTGAGATGGAGGCTTCCCCCCCCCCTTCCTTTGTCAATTATTATGAAGTTGCATGTTAGACCAAAGAGTAATGCTCATCGGCCCCACTTGGAGAGACTGAAATGAAGGCCTTCTGCTGAGACCATCTCGGCTGTCAACAACGCATGCTTAAAAAAGAGGCGAGAGAGAGAGAGATGCAGTTTGGTAAGCAAAAAAATTACCTCCCGGTTCCAGTTCCTCGGTGATTTCTGTTTCTTCTCCGGAAGTAGCTGAGCTCTGGTCGGCGAACTGTCCTTCGGAGAGCTGAGAAAGATCCTCGCTTTCCTCTTGAATGTCTGCCACCGTTTTGCCTGCTCTGCCATCCGCTTGTGGTTCGGAGACACCCTGGGATAAGATGGGGAGGACAGAAATGCTCACAGATGTGCACATTGACAGGCTTCCGTGGCCACTGTTTAAATTTCGTTCTGTGTATCAATAGGAGTTTAAGCTAACAGAACCTTTAATCAATCAATCAATAAACCTTTAATAGCATATGTAGCGTTAAATTCAGAAACAGAAGATGACACAGTCAACTAAAAACCTGAAATAATGATAAAATCATGAAACAGAGTTTCCCAAAATTTTCACTCTTATCACATTGACTAAAAAATTAGCCACTGCCACTGTAATCTCTGCTGTTGTATCATTCAATAGAATTTGACAATTTTCTTTCATTAGAAAGGTGATATTTCCATGCAACCAAGAGTTTAACCATTTTTCCCTAGCAGATACATGCAACGAACAGTCTAGCAGTATGTGATCAATTGAATCTAGAGAGCTTGAACCACAGTCACATCTCCGTTCGTACTTAGGAATATTATGAAACCTACCATACAGTAGTTTTGATGGGAAGGCATTTACTCGAGCAAGGGAAAAAACTCTTCGATGGCTAGAACTATCCAAATTATACAGATACTGGGGAATACATCCCACATCATTCTTAAGATTTAATGAAGCTGAAGAGCAGACAGGGGGATGAAAGGGCTGCAGTTTTTGAAACTCAATATCTAAAAGCCTCTGTTTGATTGTATTAAAAATATACACTTCAGAGGAGAAAGCTAACTCCTCCAAGGAGAGGCCCAAAGAAGTTATTTTGGATTGAATATTCAAGTCCCAAGAAGTACTATGAATTTCCTTTAACAGAAAGGACAAAAGCGAACCATCTTCAATGTTAAAATACAATTTAAGCCAGTAACGGACCGTTAACACCCATGTCTTGGTTTCAATCAAATTAAGTCCTAATTCAGAGCACAATGCATGGTAAGAAACACAGTTTGGGAACAGAACCTTTAAGACCTGTAACTCTAAGGTGCAGTTCTGACACCACTCAACAGCTGAGATGCAGAGGTCTTTTATCAAAGGAGTTTGAAAGCAACGTGAGCTTCCCTTCACGAACCTTGCGGTGCGGGGTTCTACCTTGTGAATTTAAATGCACGTAGGTTTCACGCCCCAGCATTTTGCATTAGGAATGCAACTTCCGACTTGGACTGCAGCCCACGGCAGAAGCGCTAGGCACGTTGAATCCGTGCACTCTAATCGATCTTGGCACCGCACTCTCGGTTCTTTAATATATAACATGACACGTCTTGTAAACCTGTATAAAGCCATTCACGAAAGCATTCAATTTGCAATGTCTAGCACTTCCCCCATGAACTTCTCAGCTGCTTAGGCACCGAACAAGCTGGACTTGACTACTGCCGGGTGGAGTGGAGCGGATGGGAACTAGTGAGTCTCCGCAACAAAGGACAATGTGCTTGATCTCTTTAGAAGACTAGGCAGACTTAGTGGAAGACAAGTCTGCCAGGGGCTATTAGCCATGATGGCTATTTGAAACCTCCTGGTTCAATATCGGTGCCCTTCTGAACTCTGGTGTAGTGGTTAAGTGTCCGGGAGAACTGGGTTTGATTCCCTGCTCCTCCACTTACAGCTGCTGGATGACCTTGGGCAAGCCATAGTTCTGTCAGAGCTGTTCTCTCAAGGGAAGTTCTCTCAGAGCTCTCTCAGCCCCACCTACCTCACAGGGTGTCTGTTGTGGGGAGGGAAGGGAAAGGCATTTGTAAGCCACTCAGACTCTGAGTGAAGGGTGGGGTATAAATCCAACTTCTTCTTCTTGGGGCAATGGCAGGGAGAAACCTACATGCCCTGCTTGCCGGCTGTGAGAAACAGGATGCTGGAGTAGATGGACCTTCGGCCTGATCCAACAGAGCTCTTTTTCTGGTTTCCTAATGTGTTCTCAGTCTGCCAGAAATTTCGGGAAAGTAAGGACTTACCCCAGTGGTAACTCCTTGCCAACTATGATAGGCTGTTGGGTCCACTAAGGCTGCTTGCTAAAAAAGCTGGGAGCCTACAGACTCTCTAGATGAAGGCCTGCCTAATCTAAATGTGACATTAGTGGGACAGAAGAACATATTGGTGTGACTTTGAAGTTTGCATGCATTCAGAACAGGCTTCCTCGGGAGGCGATGGGTTCTCCTCCTTTGGAGGTTTTTAAGCAGAGGATAGGTGGCCCTCCGATAGCAGTGCTGATTCTACGACTCACGATTAATTTAGGCAGATGGGAAAGGCAGGAAGGTATGAGCCAGTTTTTGGCTCGTGTGGTCCTTTTTTATATGCCCAGAGTAATGCTCATTGCCACTTTGGGGCCAGGAAAGGAATTTTCCTCCAGGTCAGATTGGCTCAGGGATCCTGGAGGGTTTTGTCTTCCCCTGGGCATAGAGCAGGGGTCACTGGGGGAAGTGAGAGGGAGGTAGCTGTGGATTTCTTGCACTGTGCAAGGGGTTGGACTAGATGACCCCTGAGATCCCGTCCAGCTCCATGTTTCTATATTTCATGTAAACTGAGTCACTAGGTATCCAGTCTTGCTATGCAAGCAAAGTCAGCATGCAAGTACTGTGTTCACCTGGGCTATGGCTCTCTTTTGGGCTAAAAATTCACAGGTGGCGGCCGAGGGCCCAGTTTAATGAGACGTTCGCAGCAGGCAAAAGTCATGATGCTTTGAGTGCCTCAAATGAAGTTATCAGATCATTGCTGCATAAACAGCTCGGTAACCGTCAATTACATCTTTACCCGACTCTCGCTCAGAGGAGCTGAGGGGTGCCTTACGCCAGTCTTCCCAATTTAACCTCACGGCAACCCTATGAAGAAGGTTGCGAGACAGTGAGTGGTCCAAGGTCTCCAGTGAGCATCACGGCCAAGCGGGGATTTGAACTCGTGATTTCCGAGTCCAGCGTTCTAATCGATACGCCACACCGATGGAGCGAATCGTCTGGAAGGCCACCTAATGTACGCTCCCTCCGGAGTCATAAAATAATTGTTTCTGACGGTATCATCAGCTATTCATAAGCCGCACAAATTAAAACCAGCATTTCCGTGCCAGAGTTTAATAAGCTGATCAGACGCGCGATCACGCCATCGACCCCACGGCTAAAGAGAATACAGAGTCTAAATTGGCTCATGACTTGGTGAAATCCAAGTGGCTTCATACCTGCGGAATGTCTGGAACAATGAGCTTTTCATCTTCAGTCCTCTGCCCGATCTCTTTGTTTTCCTTCTCAGGGACGGAGCTCTAAAAGTTATTGGGATCAAACACAGAAGCGGTTGCTTACTTGTGGGTCACTCAACCACTGTCACTGCGTCACAGGCAAACTGTTTAATATGGCTTACCAGGCGCTTTATTTTCTGGATGGAATTATGCATGACCTCAACGTGGGCTATGTGGACACCTACACTTCAGTGGGCTTTGGCCTCTACAGGTACTAATTCTCAGGGGTCATTTCCTGCGGGAGCTCACAGGAGCGGAGCTCCGGCAGTAAGGAGCCCAGGGGGCGGGCACATGCAACAAGCCCCGCCCCCTGCTCCCAGCAGCCCTCAGTCAGGCCATGAGGAGCAAGAAGCAGCCAGGTAACTTGCAGAGCCACCCCCGGCCCGCCTTCAGGTACAAGCTCTCCCTCCTCTGCGAGGGCAGATCTGTGTGTTCCCCCCCACACCCAATAGCTAGTAATCCAAAACAGTCCAGTGGAGCCTGAGCGGTGGGTGTTGCCTTCTGACACACTTCCGGTGATGTCAGGGGGTGTGGCATACGGAAATGTTATGCTAATTAGTTATGCTAATGAGCTCCTGCACCTCTTTTTCTACGAAATGACCCCTGCTAATTCTTAATTGAAACAGTCCTGATTCTATTTCGCATTTAATCTGTGTTTTTTCCAAAGTGGAACAGAACATGATCTTGATCCTCTGTAATGGGTGAATTCATCAAAGTCAAACAGAAAGATCATTGCCCTGACCTGGATAGCCATGGGCCATTCTGCTCACATATGAACACACATGAAGCTGCTTTATACTGAATCAGACCCTTGGTCCATCAAAGTCAGTACTGTCTACTCAGACTGGCAGAAGCTCTAGAACAGGGGTGTCAAATGTGCGGCCCCGGGGCCGGTTCAGGCCCCTGGATGGCTTCCATCAGGCCCACAGTGGAACTGGCTGTCTCCTGCTTCCAGTTTTGCTGCTGCATCATAGCTTGATTCACCAGACTCTCTTAATCACTCAGCCATTTCATGTTTTAAAAACTGGGTCTTAGACTCAGAACTCTGAACATGATATTCCTGTGGTGAATGTCAATAAATCAAAAGTAGGTTTGCAGCTTACAGAGCTAATGTTTTAAGCATGTTTTTATTTTAAGTAAAAAAACACAAAAACCTTTGTGTTTGCGTCCTTTATAAAGTTTATATCTCCGCTGCCTGGCATTACATTTTATGACACGCATGGCCCGGCCCAACAAGGTCTCATTTATGTGAGATTCGGCCCTCATAACAAATGAGTTCGACACCCCTGCTCTAGAAGGTTTCTCAGGCTGAGGTCTTTCACATCACCTGCTACCTGACCCTTGAACTTGAGGTGCCGGGGATTGAGCCTGGGACCTTCTGCGTGCCAAGCTGATGTTCTACCTCTGAACCACAGCCCCTCCTCTAAATGGGACAAAATGAAGAGTCCCCCACTGAAAAATCTACTATGAAGACTATTGGCTGGGAGGGTAGTCACTGCCCCTCTTGACAACTCATAATTCCTGTGGAAATTTTTAACGATGGCCAAGGGATTGCATAGTCATTAGACAGAAATGTTGGAACTGTAAGACTTGACTGTATCATTAGGCCATTAGGGAAGCTGAATTCAATGCACACAAGAAGAGTGAAAAAGGGTCTTCCAACTCACCGAATCCAGCAGCGTGTCCACGTCTACAAAAGACACTTTCTTCTCCGCCAGAGCTGGCCGCTGTCTTGGCTTAGGCTGTGGCCTCTAAGAAACCAATGACAGGCTTCCATCAAAACTAGTAAGGTTGCCTGGTTTGTAAGCTGACGATGCCAACTCGCAATATTTATTTTATATATGGAGTTTACCCCCCATTGCTCACCTAGATCTCCTCCAGCTCAGAAAACTAATCAGGCCTTGGAATATGTATCTCCAAAAGCTTCTGGGCCCAGTCCAGGAAACATCTGGAACATCATTTTTTTTCCCAGGCATTCTGTGACAATGGTAAGGATGCTGGCAGAGTGTGTGTTACCTATGGGACACGTATATCGTTTCAAATGCTTCCCACTCAATAGCATAGGCAGGAAAGAATTTGAGGCTGACAGATCCCAGGCTTTGGAGTATCATTCCGGTGTTCACAGCCTGAGGTTTCCGCTGCTGGAACGATTCCCTGATCTCCCTTCCAAGCTGCTCACAACTGGGTTAGCAACTTTTGAAAAGGGGGAGTAATGGGGGAGCATATGGGGCATGGGGGTTAGGTTTGGTGGAGTGGTGAAGTGCACGGACTCTAATCTGGGAGAACCGGGATTGATTCCCCACTCCTCCACATGCAGCTGCTGGATGACTTTCGGCAAGCCATAGTTCTGATAAGAGCTGTTCTTGAAAAAGAGCCGTTTCTGTCGGAGCTCTCTCAGCCCCGCCTACCTCACAGGGTGTCTGTTGTGGAGTGGTGAAGTGCACGGACTCTAATCTGGGAGAACCGGGATTGATTCCCCACTCCTCCACATGCAGCTGCTGGATGACTTTCGGCAAGCCATAGTTCTGATAAGAGCTGTTCTTGAAAAAGAGCCGTTTCTGTCGGAGCTCTCTCAGCCCCGCCTACCTCACAGGGTGTCTGTTGTGGGAAGGGAAAGGAGTTTGTAAGCCGCTCTGAGACGCCACGTGAAGGGTGGGGTAGAAATCCAACCACCACCACCACCACCACCACCACCACCACCACCACCACCACCACCATCACCTCCTCCTCTTTTTCTTGCTCCTGATGACATCATCAAGCTCAGACCAGTGATCTATTTATTTAGAGAATTATACTCTGCTTTCCCCTTCCCCCCCCCATGGGGCTCCAAAGCAGCTTACATCATTCTCCCTTCTTGTATTCTGTCTTCACAACGATGACTCTGTAAGGCAGAGTAGGCTGAGAGGGTGTGACTGGCCCAGCATGGTAGAGTGGGGCTTTGAGCCTGGGTCTCCCAAGAGCCCAATCCAACGCTCTAAACACTATGAACGATTTGAAATGAGCCCGAGTACACTTGCTTATTCATTCATTTATAGATTAGATTTTTAAATCGCTCGATCCCCGAGCACGCAGGGCTCTAAGCGAGGAACAACAACAGCAAAAACATAATTTTAAAATATTCCAAGAGTTAAATAAACTATTTTTTTTTAAATCATGAATCGTATTATTCAGATGTTGCTAATACATTAAATTCCAAACTGTGTCTCCGCCTTGTAAAAGGGCAGGGTGGGAGCACAGTTTGAAAGGGGGGAGGAGGAGGAGGAGGAGGAGGAGGAGGAGGAGGGAGTGCCCGTCAAGTTGGTGCCCATCGCTGTCCTCAGCCAGAGGCCCGGCGGAACATCTCTGCCTTGCAAGCCCTGTGGAACTGCATAAGGTCCTGCAGGGCGCAGATGTCATGTGGCAGAGAGTTCCACCAGGGAGGAGCCGGGGCTGAAGGAGCCCTGGCCCTGGTCGAGGACAGCCGGATGTCTTTTGGGCCGGGGATCACCAATAAGTTGTTCCCAGCAGAGCGTGATGCTCTTCGGGGGGACATACTGGAGGAGGCGGTCCTGATGGTACACTGGTCCCAGACCGCTTGAGACCTTGAAGGTCAGTATGAAAACTATGAACCTGACCCAGTACTCCACTGGAAACTGGTCCACCTCGCTGACACAGCACAGGCTGAAGATGTGCTGTCCGTGACGTTCCCATCAGGACGCGCACCGCTGCGTTCCGGATCAGTTGGAGTTTCCGGATCGGTCTCAAGGGCAGGCCAGCGTAAAACGAGTTGCGGTAGTCTGATCTGGAGGTGACCGTTGCATGGATTACTGTGGCTAGGTCAGGGTGAGACAGGTAAGGGGCCAGCCGCTGCGCTTGGTGGACATGGTAAAACGCCAGCTTGGCAATGTTCGTGATCTGGACCTCCGCAGGTAAGGAAGCATCCAAGACCCAAACTCCTGACGATCTGCGCCGGTGTCAGCAGCACACCGTCAAGGGTGGGAAGTTGGGCCCCCAGTCCTGAACCCCCCCCCCAGCCACAGAACCGCTGTCTTTTCCAGATTCAGTTTCAGTCAGCTCCTTTGAGATAAGACAGTTCCAGAACTGGGGGCGTGAGGGAACTTGCCCATTAATAGGCAGGGGTCATTTCCTGCGGGAGCACACAGGAGCGGAGCTCCGGCAGTAAAGAGCCCAGGGGGCGGGCACATGCAACAAGCCCCGCCCCCTGCTCCCAGCAGCCCTGGGCCATGAGGAGCAAGAAGCAGCCAGGTAAGCTGCGGTGGGTGTTGCCTTCTGACACACTTCCGGTGATGTCAGGGGGTGTGGCATATGCAAATAAGTTATCCTAATGAGTTATGCTAATGAGCTCCTGTACCTCTTTTTCTACAAAATGACCTGTTAATAGGTAAAATATTTTTCAGAATCACATGGTTTTTAAGGATGACAGGTTGCATCCTACTGTCTTTCCCACTAAATCTTCCAGTTTCCTTCACTGTAACCCTGTTCCCATGTGGCTCTTGTCCACGGGGGCCCTGCACTCCCCAGTATGGCATCTTCAGTGGCCAAACGGAGTACCCTCCTCTGTCTTTCGGCCGTGGAAAAGCTGGTAGAATACAGCCCTATTTTATGCTCTACGTTGGCCTTTTTACAAAAGAGAGGAGGGGGAATGGGACTCTAATAAAACTGAAGAGCATGGCGGGAGAGAATAGGACGCCATTTGACCTAGAGAAATGGATAGTCGTATAGTAGAAATATTTAGACAGTATACCGTTGCTGGTGGAGAGAAAGAAGGGGCCAGGACTGGAGGTTCTCCCTGGCCCTTCACTGGCTTCTCATTCCGGATATAATTCGTCAAATCCACCGCCATGACTGAACTGGTGGGAGGGAGGTAAGCGTATTTCCACTTTAGTTCCACGCTAATGGTGCCGGTGGAATGGCCCTCGTAATCTGTTAGTTCAAAGATACCTGGAAGGAAAACACCAAGCCAATATATCAGTTTGTCCCCTTATCAGAGGGCAGAAGACCGGACTCAAGGACCACCTGAAGGAGCCACCAAAGGCCTGAGAGAACCCAGCTGCGGTCATGGCGTTTTTGGGAGCATTTTGTGATGCAGTACGGTGGGGGCAAGAAAGTCCTATCTCCACTGAAGGAAATACTTATTTACACAGTGGATTGATTAAAATGTGGAATTAGCAGCCATAGGACGAAGAAGAAGAAGAAGAAGAAGAAGAAGAAGAAGAAGAAGAAGAAGAAGAAGAAGAAGAAGAAGAAGAAGAAGAAGAAGAAGAAGA